TCTCGTGGTGTTGGCAGATCTGCTGCTTCTGTCGTGACAAACGGCGAGATTGTATAGATCTTCACAAGTTAATGTATGATCATAATTATATCCATCACGTTGCCTTACGAAGTTGTGCAATATACAGCACGCCTTAACTATAACGACTGCAAAATCAACTGATACGTTTAAGGGCCTATGAAACACTCTCCATTTATTTGTTAAAATTCCAAAAGAACACTCCACACTTCTTCTAGCACTCGATAAACGAAAGTTAAATACTTTTTTCTTTTCAGATAAATTTTTTCTTGCATATGGTCGCAACAAATTATTTGAAAGAGTAAAACCCTCATCTCCAATTAAAACAAATGGTTCAATCTTCCCATTGCTTACGAGAGGTTTCCCGTTTGGAATGTCAAGTTCATTATTTTGCATCTTATGATACAATGTAGTATTAGACAAAAATTGTAGAGTCTGAGGATCTTCCATAGGACCCAATATCGACGTAAACAAAATTATAATTTGAATCAGCGACAGCTAGAAGAGTGATGGAAAAATACTTTTTGTAATTAAAAAATTGTGATCCGCTTTCTATTGGTTTAATTATCCTAATATGTTTTCCGTCGATAGCTCCGATACAGTTGGGGAAGAAACAATGTTTTTGAAAACCTTCGACAATTTTTATCCAGGCATCTTTATTGGGTGTAGGAATTAGGTATAAATAAATAATAATAATATAAAAACTTTAAAAAAGGTAGAGACAGGAAAAGGTGCTTCCAAACGAAAAAAGTATATATACTTTGAACAACTCCTGTTTCTTGAACCACTTGCACAACAAAGAAAAACGACTTCAAATCTAGAGACTGGAGATGCTGACGAAACTCGAACTGAAGTTTTGCCGTCAACAAATAATACTACACAAAAGAAGAAAAAGTTAGATAAAGAAGATGAAGTAATAAAAGTTCTACAACAAAGAATTCTGACAGCACCAAATACGGATACAATTATATCACAAGACGATGATACTTTATTGTCTGTCACTAGTAAGCGACTTTAAAAAAAAATTGGATGATGTGAAAACCGACGCTAAGTATGAAGTTTCGCAAGTGCTTAATAAATATAAAAGGCTTAGTGCTCCTGCTCATGGACACAGCACTCAGAGTGTACCATATAATAATCTTGGTCACAGTTCTCAGAAAGCACAGTATAATAATCTTGGTCCAAATGTTACGTCTAGTTTATATCTCCAGCAAGCATACGCAAATACACATACTCCTTGTGCCTCAGGGATTGCCCAACAGCAACACCAGAGTGTCTCTCAGATGCTAAGATCATCTATTCATTTAGCTTCAACTATCACTCAACCCCAGAGAGTCACTCAGACGCAGGCGAATATACACATCCCATTAATATCCCCAACATATTCATCGGTTTCCTCGCCTGATTCACTTAACACCTACTCCGCAGAAGGTTATGAAGATATAAGTCAAAATGATAGGATAATCAAAATTCAATATATATCACAGATTTATTCTAATGAGTTTATTAAATACCATGCAAAAAATGTAATAAAAGTAAATAAAGTATTACCTTAAGCACATTGAAAGCCTTTCCTCTGCTGATATTGATTTTCTCATTACAGTATCCGTTTTTGAAATAATTGGTCCAATTATCTGTAGCAGCTCGTCGAAAGAACTCACCGACATTCTTAAAAACTGAAAAAACTTATCAGGGTAACTGCGTAGTTTATGATACAATGTATGAAACTGTCCAAATTTTAGACGGTCATTGACAATAGGAGGTACCCAAAATTTACGTGGTTTTCTTCTTTCACGTCTTCGCTTTTGAAGGGGCAACAAAAGTAATGCTTCTTCTGTCAAATTCATAGTTGTTCTGCTGCCACTGACCACATTTTGTCGTCGATGTAACTACAGAAAGTCGCTAGGACAACCACATTTGAAGTCGAAATTGGCGACAAGACGCCGATATTTTTGCGGTCAAGTTGGACTGCAAAAAGTAGCCCGTCTGAAAACGGTCTTAGAGTTGCGCCCGCTGGCGGCGGCGTCGGCGTGTCGCCTTCCATGCTAGCTGTGCGTACAGTATATTCAGATAAGAGATAGACCGGACATAAACAGGACCACGTGATCATCGAACGCTGTAAAATTCGGCAGGGACGTATTAAGAGTCACGCAGTACATATTTTAGATAGTAGATGCTGCTTTGCGTAACTTTGTAGTAAATTAGCACAATTCGATGTGTATACGATTGGTGATGGATATAGGATCATGTGGGGGTGGGGTAAGAAATATATAATGATGTAAATATACATAAGGGTTTCAAAATTTTCGCTTCGATTTCCAGCTTCGGATGCCGCCTGGTGTTTGGTGAAATACAGTCGAATATAATCTCAAAATGGCGTTTAAATTAGCCTAAATTAAAAATAATCGTATATCACTTAAAATTGCTTTTAGAATATTGATTAGTATATTTTTTGATTTCTAGGTAAATATGTAACCAAATTAAAACGTTCAAAACGTAAAAAAATGTGCATGGTTGAACATTGTCAGAAAGTAAATTCTTGAATAGGTTTTGCCAAAATGGGTTCAAAAATGTCAATAATTAATTAAAAAATACAGTAGCTTTATAATTACTTATAACTTACCGAATTTGATGAACGACATCTTTTATTGGAAAGATGAGCTTGATGAGCTTTCATCATCGCTACTGCCTGAAGCACCAACGTCAATAATGAATGGCTCGACTTGTTCCTCTAAAATATTGTCCAGTTCCCACATTCTCTTTTCAACTTTGTCTTTCACGTGCTTAATACAGTTTTCCCATTTTTGCGCTGTTATTAATGCTAGTGCTTCTTTGAAAAGTCCTTTGAGGTCACAAAATTTAAAAGTTGTATTGTTCTTAGCTATATAATTTTTAACCTCCGCCCATATGAGCTCAATGGGATTGAGCTCGCAATGGTATGGAGGTAAACGGAGCACAGTTTTATTTTGACTTGCTGCCATTTCGTCAATGGCGTATTTTTGATATTCCGCCTTGTGATCCTTGACAATTCTTAATAATTGTACTTTCAGCATTGCTTCTTCAAAATTGATATTTTTCGAGCGGAGCCAATTTTAAACATCAACTTTCCTTGAAGCCGTTGTTGGGACCTTCTCCATTCTTCGAGAATGATAAGGCGCATTATCCAACACAATTACTGCGTTTTCCTCTAAGTTCGGTAAAATTTTTGAAAACCACTGTTCAAACGATTCGCCATTCATTTCCTCGTGGTAATCTCCAGTTTTCTTAGACTCAAAGCACCACAGACCATCAACAACAAATCCATCCTAACTGCCAATATGGCAGATAATGAGCCTTTTCCCTTTACCTGGAAATCGAAGTACTAACTTGTGTAGATTTATTTCAATAAGCGAACCTTTTTCAAATGTTTTCATCACATTCAGCGAAAAAACATTGAGACATGAGTATCAGATTGCTATAATTGGGATTATTTAGTCATATTGAAAGAAAGAATATTGAACGTCGTATGATTACTCAGCGCTTCACAATTTAATTTAAAGTTATAAACCTTTAAAAAATGAATGATCAGGAACCTGAAATACGCGCAAATATTAATATTAACAAATTATAACTTTATAAAGCTTAAAGTATGAATTAAAATGATTAGAAATATTAAGAACGGTACACAATATAATACTTAGTAACTTTTTTTAAGTTTATAATATTCGACATATTTTAAGATTATATTAAAAAATTATTGAAATATCGAAAACACATAAAAACATGGCTTAAAAAAGTTCTAACAAATGAAAATGACAACAAAACATCCACGCATTTTATCGAAACTTATAAAAGTTTTGTTACTTGTAATATGTTTTATCGGCCATCTGGAATTAATGTTTAGAACCTTGTTCCCAAGGTTTGAAAAACATCCGATTGTTGTCTATTACTCGTATTTACCTGCTGGATTTTTTAATCCGGTGGACAGTCCATCTAGAAAGGCCCTCCTGGATGAAGTTACAGAATCATCAACCCATACTTTACTTGTAGTGTGTCCTGCGTTTACCCACGTTCCATCAAGGTAATAAATCTTCCCGTTTTGATTTCTATATTTCCCAATTTTTGTTAAATAATCCCTCCTCCATAGCACAATTTCTTCTCTATCCAGTAGTAAACTATTACGACCCCGTTTTTTCCATTTGAAATTTAAATGCTTCAGTAACGCATGGAAAGTTGATCGTTTGAAATTTGGCAATGTTGTATCTCCATTTACCTCCTGCAGTACTTTATCTATAGTAGGTATTTCATTCCTAAAGAAGAATTCATGCACTTTCCTCCTAATCGCATGCTTATCAGCTTCATCCAATGATTTAACAATACTTTTGCGATGTTTACTGGTCATTGGCTCAGAAATGGTGTGATTTTTTTTGTATTGTCTTAACACATTAAACACTGATGCGCGACACACCCCAACTTTGTGAGAAACCTTCACAACAATTTCTTTGATGGTTGATGCCTCGTTCTCCTCGCGCTCGATCTTATATATATTCAAAATGACCTCTTTCATTTCTGCACTCAGGTGTCTTTTTTTAGAGCGTTTCCTAGGTGGACTACAGGAGTTTACAACTTCATCGGCAGTATCTGTACTACTGGGCATTTTGCGCAAGCAGTTGATAACAATAACAATCAATAACAAGGTATAACAATAACAACGACAAACTCAACAACTTAATAAGATAACAAACGAAAACGTCCAAAGAAATATCAAATTGCAATGATGCACACGACATACGTAACACGTCTGACCCTGAATGTGACTCTGCCTTGATACGACTGCTCTGCCGCTCGGCATAGGCATTTAATTGCGAATTGACCAATGAGGGCTCCTGTTTTACGTCGAGACGGCGGCGTTAGCGTGAAAATCACCCGAACCTTTTGTTTACATCCGGTCTATCTCTTATCTGAATATACTGTAGGTGTCGATTCGCTGCCAGAGGCGGCGACCGTTATGTTTTGCGTAAGGATATACCATCTCGGCAGCCTTGAAAGTCTTTCAACGTTTAATGTTCGATTGGAAGCAAACACAGTTTTTGTACCGCACGCTTCACTGGGCCGGATGTAGTTTTCACAGTAACAACCCGAACAGTTCCATCGGTTCCTGGATGAGTTTCGATGATGCGTCCTAGACGCCAATATAATGGAGGCACGTTGTCTTCGACTAAGATCACCATGGCACCAGGAGTGATCAAATTCGGATTAGAGTCACTTGAGGGCCACTTGGAACGAGCCTGAAGGTTCATCAGGTAGTCTCGACACCATCGTTGCCAAAAGGTTTGCTGAATCTGTCTTATTAGCTGATATTGATTTTGAAGGTTCTCTGGTAGCTTGGAATAATCGCATTGAGGAGGGCTAACACCGATCAAGAAATGACCGAGGGTCAGGACTGTTAGGTCTGACGGATCAGAGGAAATAGGTGTGAAAGGGCGTGAGTTTATCACAGCTTCAACCTGTGCAGCTATAGTAGACAGATCTTTGAAAGTTAACGCTTTCTTGCCCAAAACTCGAATGAGGTGTAATTGTGCTCGTTTAACTGCGGCCTCCGAAAGACCTTCATAATGACGTTTCACCACGTTCACGTGAGGGAATGAAATTTCACTTAATAGAGTTTTTCAAAAGAAACTTTAAAATATGAGGTTCATTTATGAAATCAGGTAATTTGGAATAAATCTGTTTCAACTCGTTGTCAGCTCCGACATTGTCGCTATAAATGATGCGGCACAATCCTCTACGAGAGACAAACCGTGATAGCGCATTGAAAAATGCCCCACTGCTCAAGTCACTCACAACCTCTAAATGGACAGCTTTAGTTGTGAAACAGATAAATATGCAAATATAGGCCTTAATAAGGGCTCGATTGCGAAGTTTGCCGTCCTTAACCCTTAGTTAGTCGCGCCAGTGTATTTTGTACACTATTTTTAAAATAGAAGTCACCATTTGTTTAAAAAACGCTTTTTTGCCACCACCACTACACGTATCTTAGCAGACAGATGTCCTTGACTCACTGCAATCCCGTTTCGCCGGTTTTAGTTGGACGCCGTACTTGAATTGAATAACATTTTCTGAGCGGTGCCTGAAATACACCACGCGACCAATTAACATGTAAGTATTATAAGACAAAGTTTTCGCCTGTTTTTTGCTTTTTGAATCGACTATATAAAATTATGTAAATAATTCTGAATTTGATGTAATAGGGTAATAAATATATTAAATTGTTTCAGGGACAAAATACGTGTGAGAGACCCCAATAGGTTGACTGATGAGGAACTTGCCCTTTTTTTAGAGTTAGATGATAGTAGCGACGAAGTGTCACCCTTGGAAATTGAAGAGGAGCATGATAGCGACTTTGAAGAGGAAGTAGTTTCTTATAGTGATCATGAGAGTGCTTCCGAAGTTAGCGAGGAAGAATATGAAAAGGCCAATGAAGAGGCCGAATAAAAGTCCGATGAAGTGGAAGATGAAAATTTTTACACAGGACGTGATAAAACAAGTAAGTGGAAAAAAATAGTTACATGACTAGCACATCGAAGCGGAAGGCCTGTAACATAGTAAAAATATTTCCTGGTCCCAAAGCGGCATCTCGGAATATTGAAACTGAAGTCGATGCATTCATGAAATTCTTTTCCAACGATATAATCGATGAAATTGTAACTTGTACAAATGTGTACATTGACAGTATAGGAGAAAATTTTAGGCGAAACAGGGACGTAAAGCATGTTTAAAAAAATGAACTTTCATCGGGTTATTGATTTTATCAGGAATAAAAAAGCCAACCACACCACATTTTTAGAACTATGGGCAACAGATGGTTCTGGGATAGAAATATTTAGAGCATGTATGAGTTACAAACGGTTTTTGTTTACACTTCGCGTCATAAGATTTGACAACATCCACACTAGGCTTCAAAGAAGGGAAGTAGATAAATTAGCTCCTATAAGATTTATTTTTGACAAATTCGTAGAGCAATGCAAATCATCGTACAATCTAGGAGAATTTCTAACAACAGATGAAATGCTGATTCCATATAGAGGGCGTTATGGGTTTATTCAATATATACCAAATAAACGTGCCAAATATGGAATAAAAGTTTTTGCGCTATGTGATTCTCGTACATTTTATACAGGAAACCTAGAAATATACTGTGGAAAACAACCCAACGGTCCCTTGTTTCAACGTAATACACTGTTCGATATTTTCCACAGACTCACTAGTCATGTAAAAGGAAAAAACAGAAACCTCACATGTGATAATTGCTATTCCAGTTACAGGTTGGCACTGTCTCTACTAAAAGACAAAATTACATTTCTAGGGACATTACGAAAAAATAAAAGAAAAGTACCCAACGAGTTTCTTGCAAACAAAAAACGAAATGCGAGTACTTCAGTTTTTGGATTTCAAAAAGATATAATACTAACTTCCTATGTCCAAAAAAAAATAAATCGGTACTGGTTTTATCCACAATGCATCATGATGGAATAATAGATGATGAATCGCAAAAACCGGAAGCAATACTTGATTATAATCGTACAAAAGGAGGAGTAGACACCGTGGACCAGCTTTGTGGCAATTACTCTGTTTAAAGGCGAACAAAAAGGTGGCCATTATGTATATTTTTTCAGCTATACAATATTGCAGGAATCAACAGCCAATTGTTGTTTCAAGGAGTAAAAAATAAAGGAGAAAAAAGAAGGCCATACCTAAAAAATCTTTACTATATGCTGATGAGACCTCACTTTCAAGATCGTTTGTCAATTCCACAGTTACCTGTGGACATAAAAATCCTGCTAAAGAAATTAGTCAAAGAAGATCAAAATCAACCCAAGGCTGACAACCCAGAAGAACCACCCCAAAAAATAAGAGCAAGATGCCTTTTGTGTGGACGAGCCAAGAATAGAGTAACAACAATGAAGTGTGATTCTGGTAATAATTTTGTTTGTAAAGATCATAGCAAAAAATGTATTAAATGTGTTACTTGTTGCAATTTAATGCTTTAATGCGTTTGTTCAATTTCTAGCTTTTAAATGCCAAAGAATATTTTTTTTTCAAATAGCAAATAATTCTATTTGATATTTTTTCGAATTTTATTTTTCGTTTTTATATTATTTAGTTTATGTTAACATAATGTAAAATGTTCTTAATAAACGTATATTTAGTATTTATTTGAAACATCCTATTATTATGCCTACATATTATTACAAAAAATACCATTTTCTTAGTGGTGTATAGAATACACCATCCGACCACTTATTAAAAATTCACCCACGCGCCTAATTAAGGGTTAATGAAAAAAGGACGAGCCAAATCGATTCCAGTTACATAAAAAGGTCGGCATGGTTTAACACGATCAGCAGGTAAGTCTGCCATTTTTGACATGATTGGATTTGGACTGGGTCTAAAACAAACAATACAGGACTTCAGTACGCTGCGAATAGCCCGGCGGCCATGAATTATCCAGCATGTCTGCCGCAAAGAGCCTAAGATTTCTAGTATACCCGCATGCATATTTTTAAAATGCTCTGCAGGCCCGTATCCATTTGTAACAAATGACCCGTAACGTAACCGCGAACATGTTATGTTACGGCTAGTGGGGACGAAGTACTGTTCCATGTAACCCGTAACCATTTTGACACGCGAGTTATGTGTCCATACCGCACGTGTATCAGCACAATGAACGGAGCTTCACCTTTGTAGATTTTTGCAAGATAGACATTTTTCATTTTTATTGTTATCTTTTGAATTCAGTTATTTCAGTCTTGTACACCTGCTTGTAACAATCACTTGTCTCCAAAATAAAACTTTTTTAAAAAGTAATTTGCCGGTTTCGGGAATTTAACTGGCGCTGCTAACAGGATTAACTGCACGGTATCCCCGAGGATCATCGGCTCGTGTCAACGACTTGGCAGTTCAGGACAGGAGACCAAAGTGTACCACAGACTTGAGGAGAATAGCAGACCAACTGGATATGAGAAGCATCTTGGTTCGTCTTATCCTGTAAGTCCCTTTCCATATTCTACCTATGAGTTCTGAGTATCCACAAGATTCATTGCAAGCAGTTATTTTAAGTAATAGTCGAAAAAATTCAAAAGAACAGTCTCGTTTCAAACCGTACACTGTTCCAAAACTTGAAAATCTCTTCACTGAACAATCAAGTAGCTCTACTCCAACCCTAGAAAACATTAGTGATACTCCAATCATAGAAAACATTACTGACACTCCAATCATGGTACTATCTAATTCAGATATAAATAACTTGTGCAATACTTTGCCAGAATACAATGCTGGTGAAAATCTTTCAACTTTTGTAAATTCGGTAGACAATTTAGTTAATTTCTTTTCATAACAAGGTACGGACGCTATTCAAAAATATATCATTAATGCTAATATACTGTCTAAGGTTAAGGGCGAGGCTCGTGATTTTTTGAACCTCCATAATAAAACAACCTGGGCTGAAATTAAGCCGCTGTTACTCCAAAAGTATGGCGGCCATCGCACCGAAGAAATTTTATTGACTAAACTTACTACTACTGTTCAGAAACGTTCTGAGTCGTATGAAGACTATCATCACCGCATTACTTTAGCTCTTAATGATATTTTACAGCATGTTTCTCTACACGAAAATAATCCAGAAGCAGTTCAGTTCAAAGCTATATTCTTTAGAAATCAAGCACTAAGAACTTTCTGTACCGGTATAAATAATCCATACTGTGATCATTTCTCTCATTACAATTTATCTTCGCTAGATGAAGCTCTCCAAAAATGTATTGCTTTAGATAACCATAAGCAACAACAGCAATACATGTCTTATTTGAAATCTTCTACTTATCCTAATGAATATCAAAGGACCTCTTCACGTCCCAACCAATCTCGAAACGTACAAGCATCTTCTCTGAATCCTCCTAGAAATTCACAATAAAATTTTCAACAGTATCGTTCACAAAATCAGACATTCACCAATAACAGAAACTGTGGTGATATAAATAGGCCCATACCCCTACTACAAAAACCTCCTACTAATAGGGAAGTATTTGGACCTCCTCCTCGTCAAAATAATTTCCAAAACAATAATCAATTCAGACCCACTCCTATGTCCGTGCAAAGTAATAATCATAGGCCAACCCCTATGTCTACTACCACTCGTAACAGCCGTTCTTTCCATCACAACGTAGAATGTGAACCAAATTCTGTCGAATATTTAAATGAACTTCTCAATCAAGAATATTATGATGATTACGAAAATCAGCACGAATTTACCGAAAATTTTCAAGAACAAGCCATCCAACAGCCCCCAGATATCGAACCATCCAATTAAATAATTTTTCGAAGCATACTAAGCTTCCGTATTTTTACCTGCCTCATTCAAATCTAAAAGTTTTGATTGATTCCGGTGGATCGGACACCGTTATCACTCCTAGAGCAGCCAAAATGTATGATTCACAATATGAATTCTATGAACCATTTACTTTTGTTTCCATGAAAACACCAAAAACGTATACTAGAAACCTGTATTACCCTATATTTCAAGAAATTGGTATTAATCAATCTCTCATAGCCAAGATTGCCGACTGGCATGATGATTTTGATATCCTTCTTGGTACCGGCGAACTTGATCAGTTAGGTGCTAATATTGATTATGAATCTCATATTTTCTCAATCAGAAAATTAGCTATACAAATCCCTTTCGAAATTGTTTATCGTACCAGTAATCGTTTGTCTATCCCTGTATCTGTGAACAATGGTGAAATAGTTGTCCCTGAAATCATTCATAAAGGTCAAGTTATTTTACCAGAATCCATACAATGTTAGAGTTGGATATATCGAAATCCCTAAGCCACAAAATATTGATATTGATTTTTAGAAACCTATTTCTGCTGGTCCCTTGTCAGATTTTGAGAAGAAAACTCCCCAAAAACTGTCTAATTGTTATTTCAAAAGTGACATGATTAGAACCCAACACTTGAATTCTGAAGAAAAGAAAAAAATTCTTCGTCTATGCCATACATTTGAAGATATCTTCCACACTGAAAATTCTATGCTCACTTGTACAAGCTCAGTTCAACATGTTATTCGTACTAAGGATGATAAACCTATTTTTTCTCGTTCCTATCGATATCCTAGAGCTATTCTTCCTGAAATAACTTTCCAAATGAACAAACTCCTAGAAAATAAAATTATACGTCCGTCAATATCTCCTTACTCAGCTCCTTGCTGGATCGTTGAAAAGAAGACAGATGCTTCAGGAAAGAAAAAATTCCATATGGTAATAGATTACCGAAAATTAAATGAAATTACCATTGAAGACAAGTACCCCATCCCTAGAATAGACGAAATTCTTGACAATCTTGGTCGATGCACTTATTTCACGACTCTTGACCTAGCCCAAGGTTTCCATCAAATTAAAGTTCACCCCAATTCTGTAGAAAAAACTGCCTTCACAGTTCCGAATGGCCATTTCGAATATTTGAAGATGCCCATGGGAATCCGAAATGCCCCTGCATATTCTAACGAATGATGGATGAAGTCCTTCGACATCACATCTATAAATTTTGTTTTGTTTACATGGATGATGTTAGTATATTCTTTAGATCTCTTCAAGAACACCTTATTCATATTAAACAAATTTTCCAAAGATTTCGTGAAGTAAATTTAAAAGTACAACTTGACAAATCTGAATTTTTATGCAAAGAAGTCGCTTTCCTTGGTCATGTTGTTACCCCAGAGGGTATAAAACAAAATCCTAATAAGATTCATGCTATCGAAAATTATCCCATTCCAAAGACGAAGTTTTCTCGACCTGGTAGGCTACTACCGACGTTTTATTCATAACTTTTCTAAAATTGTTGCCCCCATGACAAGATGTACTAAAAAAGGCGAAAAAATAGACACAAATAATCCGCAGTATATAGAAGCATTCGAAAAAGGTAAAAGTGCTCTCACAAACTCCCCTATACTTCAATATCCAGATTTTTCACAACCCTTCACCCTCACAACAGACGCTTCAGGTGTCTCTATAGGCTCGTATTTAAGCCAAAATGGCAAGCCAATTGCTTATTACTCTCGTACTCTCAATTCTTCAGAAAGAAACTATTCAACTATAGAAAGAGAACTTCTTGCAATTTTAGACTCCTGCAGGCACTTCCGTCCTTATCTTTATGGTATTCACTTTACTCTCGAAACTGATCACAATCCAATTGTCTGGATCCAAAAACTTAAAGAGCCCCATTCCCGTTTAGCTCGTTGGAAACTTAAGTTACAAGATTATAATTTCGATATAAAATACAAAAAAGGCAAAGATAATATCGTTGCCGATGCCCTTTCCCTTATCGAAATGAATATGCACGGAACTGAATCTATCATTGCCAATCCTCCTTCAGACTCCTCAGATGTCGAATTTGATGTTGACGAATTTGTCAATCAAACCTTAGAAAATCAAACTGGTCTATCCACCCAACATTCAGCAGTGGAACATCTCGTTGCTACCGTTCCATTTTCAGAAGAACCTATAAACTATTTAACTAATCAAATTATCATGAAATTCGGAGATGAGTACTCCCTCAAATATTCTTTAAAATTCAAGTCTAAGCATCAACATTTTGTTACCCTCACCGAAAAAAGTTGGAAATACGAAGTCAAACAGTCACTTCATGATGTTATAGCTCCAAATCAGTGATACTGCATTTTTACTGATAACGTGGATATTGCACTATATCGAATTTCATTAATCAGTGTGATATCTGTCTTCGTAACAAATACGAAAGACATCCATATAAACTTCCTCTTCAAGGTCCACTTCTAGGTGAAAAACCATTTGATATTTTACATGTTCATGCTCTAAAGAATTTTTTTTGACAATTGTCGATTCTTTTTCCAAGTATGCCCAAGTGTATCAAATACCCGACAAAACTACAGTTACAATATCAAGCACATTACGACACTATTTTTCACACCACAATTATCCTAAAAAATTATATGTGACGAAGGCTCAGCATTTTCTAATAAACTTTTATAGAAAAACTCAGAGTTATGCAAGATCAACGTCCTAAAGAATATTTTCAAGATTTAGGGCCAATTTGACCAACAACAGTCCGTCATTCACCACCTATAGGGTAACAGTCCATCAAATACAGCGA